CCTACTGAGCCCTGGGCTTTGACTCTCCGAGCCCCCAAAGTGGAAAGGAGAAACCAAAGAAAGCGCCAGAAGATGTCAGGTTCCCACACTGTAAAATTAAAGAGAAGATTTAGAGACTGCTTTTGCTTCATCTGATCTTTCCCTTTTAATCTTGAACATTCCTCATTAAATGAGGGAAGTGAAACGTTTCGGGACAGAAGAATAGTTTTTAATTAGAAGCAGATTTAAATTTGAATGTCATATAGGCTTTGCAAAATGTCTTTTTGCTGCTGTTTGCCAACTTTGCAGGATTTAATTTTGCAGCAGAAAGGCGACGGTGGGAATTTAGGGCCATCAAAGAAGTCTTTGGCACAACTGGCATAGTGTTCTGCCAGGTCTCCCACCTTTGCTTGCTCAGGGATGAGCTCATCCTGCACCAGCACCACTGCTGCCACCTCTCCTTCTCACCCTCAGTGAAGGGCAGGCTTCTTTGGTGTTGGCAGGCACCTCTGAGTTGAAGGAAAACCAGAAGGCTTCTCTTTTCTCTGTCTTTTTTCTCCATCCTTCATCCTACCATCATAGCCTGCTATTGTGTTTGCTTTCGTACGCTTCCTTTGTTCTTTTTTTTTTTTTTCCTTTTTTTTTTTTTTTTCAATTAGCTGCAGGGAAGTCTTAGGATTGATCTCAGTTAGGATTCATGTACTTAACATTTGGACTGAATGATGCCTGCAGTGCTGAGGGAAGAGCTCATGGGTATCCCCTGCATCCTGCTGTGGCCCGCTGGAGTGGGGTGAAATCATCACCCGGGGCAACAATCCAAGCTCAGTCCAGCCATCAACTCCTGCATCCCTGGGTGAGCTTTAGGACGCAAACTCCTGAAGCACAAGGGTTTTCTTTGGGAGAGGTGGAGAGTTGCTCCATGTGAGTGTGGAGATGGGCTATGGTCACTCCATGGAAAGTCTGAGCTGTTATCAGCGCCAGTATGCGTGGTTCATGCAGAGCTGGGTATTTTATTTTATTGTAATTTATTTTTTTTTAACCTGGTAGTATTCTTAATGCTTACAGAAGCAATTCTTACACAGTCAAATACAGAGCACTGACGTAGTGGTTTTAGTCTGATGAGTTTCGATAATCAGAAGATGCAGATTTCTGCACAGCGTCTCAACCTCACGTCACTTACTGTTCTCAAGCTGTGTCTCCCCCTGCTAAAAACCACAAAAATCCCACTTAACATTCTGATTTCAGCAATACATGCACGTAGCATGATTACATTCATGCACTTCAACAGAAGAATATTTGGTCTTAGCAGTTTTCTTCTCTCCCAGTGATCCAACAGAAAAACTGGATTTATATCTTCCATTGTGTCCACTGAAAAACACGCAAAGCGTTTTTTAAAATTATGTTTCAAATGTCATCTGATGGAGAAAGGTAAGAGAGAGTGGGTTTTCTTTAGAAAGCCGCACGAAGCACTTGTCATCTGAAGTTGTTTTGCAGGAGGTATTTTTAGGATGACTCAGGCGTAAGGTCTGAGAGTTCTTCTTGCCTTTAACTGAAGGGAAAAAAAAAAAAAAAAGCTGACATTTTCCTTCCAGCTGTTTTGGTTAAATATTTGATTATAAAAACCCAACCTTTTGGGCAAAAAAGGATTTTTTTATTTTTAAGTTCTGGTACATATTTGCCCCGTATTAACTGCTAATTCTCCAGTTATCCATAGAGAAGTAGGTTATATGTGAATGCCAGTGAATATTTACCACCTCCTACTCCCTAGTAAAATGTCCTGGTGGCTTAAAAGTAGGATTGTTTCCTGTGTTCGTTTGTTTAAAAACAACCAACCCAAAGCCATAATCAGACCCACAAATGAAAGATTGCACTTGCTTTATCTTAAATTGTTGACAGAAGTTACTGGTTTCGTATTCTGCAAACCTCACGCTTTTCAGTAGTTTTGCTTTACTTGCTGAAATTCCTAAACCTTTATTTATCAAACCTTTATTTATTTTTCTTCGTTGACCACAGTGCCTCCACAATTTTTCATGTGTGAAATGAAAATTTTAACACGTGTAATGACATTTCTGTTTGTTGGTGTTGATGTCTTGAAAAAATCTGAAAGTCTTTTTAGACTATATTCTGTTTGTGATGTATTTAAATCCATGTGGTTATGTCCTCAGTGAATACTGGAAATAGAGAACATAAAGCTGGCGAAAGTTTTCATTCATTTTTGCTTTTATTTTTCGTCCATCACAGCCCTACCTCTGTAGCTCACTCTCACTCTATTGGTATCCTCTTAGGGATTTTCTATAGCAGGAGACATATAAATCAGCAACCATCTTTTTCTGTGTGTAAGCCTCCATGCTCACATTCCTAGAAAGCATGGTTGCATTACATATTTAAAACCCCAAGGAATTAACTCTGTATTCTACGCAGTGGACATCTGCTGGTGGATGTGTTGGGCAGTAGCATGAAGGCCTTTAAAACCGGAGAAAGAAAAGCCATTCCTTTGCTGCAAATGCTGTAAGAGAACTACAAGTCTTCTTGTTTGGATGGAGCGTGATGGCAGTGACACTGATGGTCCTGAGCAGGTTGCATTCATAGCTCAGGCAACTGGACTGCAATATAGCACTGTTGGTGCAGATACTTGATCTGCCTTGCTGTAGGGGAATGGGCTGAATGCAGCCAGGACAGACAGACAGACAGCTGGAGTGGGTGCAGGTGTTGGTGCAGTGCTGCAGTTTGTGGGCACCTGCAGCTATGCCAGGCTTAATCGGGAATTGCTACATCTCATAGGCACTCACTGGCTTTTCTCCTCTTTGTACTCATGTCGTGTCGTTGTATTTTATATATATTGCTATTATGCTGTGTTACCTACAGTTTACTATTTTGTGGTATGCACCTGTCTCTGATAATCAACAGCTGACTCCATGATTGTTATGTGATGTGGCATCTTCGGTCTCTTCACATCACGAATGCACAATGATTTCATTATCATTCCTCTCTAGTGAGCACTTCATGAGAAGTGTCCTCTCCCTTAAATAAGAGTTTGTGTGTCTCTCGCTCATCATTTGCTTTAGATGTGCACCACTCCAGCAGAACATCTACTGGCAGCACTAGAATGTGTCGTACAAGACCCCAGTCCATCGAGGCACTGTTCATAGGATCACAGAATAGTTTGGATTGGAAGGGACCTTAGAGATCACCCAGTTCCAGCCCCCCGCTGTGGGCAGGGTTGCCACCCACCAGATGATGCTGCCCAGGGCCCCGTCCAGCCTAGCCTCACACCTGGGATGTTCTGTCATTGTATGGGCAATAAAGAGGGACCTGCAACTGCAGCATAGCAAGAATTTCCATTAGTTGTATTATTTTTTGTTGTCCTAGCAAAAACCAAATGAAGTTCATTTAACTTCATTGAGTGGCTCACTCACTTGTGTGCTTTTCTTCCAGTTCTGTGGTGTTTCAGGGTAAGTTAGTTCTTCTTTCAGCTTAAACCTTCACACATTGAGGGAGACGGCCACCAGTATGGCGTCTGGAGCTGTAAAATGCAGTGGGTTGTCAACGTAAATCTAGAGCTGGGTTGTGAAACATGCCTCAGTGCCTTGGTAAGAAAGGTCGTGACCCTTATCAGATGGCTGCCAAGGATGTAGTGCTGTTTGCAGGTAGTGGCTGCACAAAGATGCTTCTACAGGTAGGAAAACATCTATGCAATAGATGTTACTCATTGAGGAAAGCACAAAGTATAGGAGACTTTTTGGCTAGATACAGAGTATGTGCTTACCTAGTTATTGTTTTGGTTATCTGTGGTACTTTGTTTGGAATCAATCTGACAGAGAAGCAATCGGCAGTTTCTGATACAAACTCTTCTTTTCATCTTTTTTGAAATCAGAGATAATTCAGTTTGGGAGTTCAAAGTACTTTATCTTTCTGGCAATCTAATGTAGCAGGCTTCCAAAATACGTAAATAATTTTATCTGTATAAAGTAGAATGATTATGAATTTAAACACGTGGATTTATGGTACCATTTATGTGAGCTATGCTGATAATACTTTTAATAATGAAATTGCATTTGTCTTTGTAGCTGCATATACATTTTTGTGACAAATCTTTTACGTCTTCTCAAGAGCTAGGCATTCCCTAGTGCATTAGGTATGTTTCTAAACAGGGGAAATGAGTTTGATAACCAGTCTGCACATTTTGTTTTGTTTTGTTTTTTTGATAAAGCGTTAGTGACATACGTATGTAAAAGATGCTTTGTTTGTTTTGTCAGTGCTTGGTGAATGTTATGGAGACCAAACAGTAGATGTGAGCAATAGGAGGCAGTGGGTGGTGTGTTTCAGCAGTGGTGGCAGTGGGTCATCTCCACTGGTTCAGATACCAGAACATGGCATGCAGCTCTTGTTCATCACTGCTGAAAATGCATAGCTCATGCTGGTGACTATCCTGAAAACTATTGTTTTGTAGCAGAGAATTTGCTCTATCAAATAGTGCTGTTGTGCTCTTTGTATCTGTTGTAGTTCCCATGGAAATGAATAGGAGGCATTACTTTTGAAGCAGCCTACATAAAATGATGAAATTATAGATTCATACAGTATTTCAGCTGTTCTTTAATCCAGGAAGCCCTTAAATATCAAGTCTTCATTGGTTAAAGCATATCTGTGTAACCAGGTTAAGAATGAGCTAGTAGAAGGTGGTTTTCTTTTTGAGTTGTGTCTGTGTTCAGTGGCCAGTATATAGGTTTAGAAGAAGCTATGTATAGGAGAAGCTGTGCTTTAAGTATGTACATACATATTGCTAGCCCTGGAAGGAGTTTGGCTTTTAAAACTGAGGTGGTATTCTTTCTTATCAGCAGCTCAGCTCACTCGTAGCTGTGGGAGTCTGCCCTGCAGCCATTTGTGTGGGTCAGTTTGTTGCATTCTCTGTATAAAGGAGAGAATATTCTGAGCTTCAGTGAGAAAAAGAACCTGGGGCTAGATTTAAAAGGCAGAAACATGGAACTGAAGCGTGTTGAACTCAGTCTTAAAACCTCTGAGAAGGGTTTGATTTAGTTACATTTTTTTTTTTTAGTTCTGCTTATATTATAATGGGAAAACAATTTGGGGCCTTAACTGAAAACAAGTGGTTCCAACTTCCTTTAGTGGTTCAGCTCATAAATATTGGAGAAGTCATTTAAAACCACTTATTTCAAGCCTGTGGAAGAAAGGGTTGTAACCTTGCATTACATAGGAATGGTGAGTAAATGGACAGATCAAATAACAGCCCTCCCACTGGTGAAGAGTAGCGAGGCCAGTGTGGAGCCATCCTGATCCTCCTCGTTATGGCAGCCGAGAAGCCCAGTGTCTCCTGAACTGGAGCAGTACTGTCAGAGACGTTTAGGATGATTGCAGTTCTCTTCTGTTCTTTCCATTTCATTTCATAAAAACTGCAGCCCCCCCAAAAAAATATTTCACAGGCATTTTGGGAGATATCAGTGATGCGTGAAAGCCACGTTCCAAGCTCAGCAAGCTGGTCTGTCTCACCGTAGTGCTGCTGCTCCTCGTCCTTACCAACATGAGCTCTTTTTCCTGATACTTCTCAGAGGGCAGTGTGCTACCAAAAAGAACTGGATCTTAAATTTTTTGCTCATTCCAGCTGCACTTTTCCTTGCTTCTTCCTCTGCACACGCAAGCACAGGCATACACAGTAGGAAGCTGCTCCTCCCAGCAGGATCTGCTGTGCGGCAGCAGCCGGAACACAATTCCTTCTCCTGCACTGATGAATTTGGGGGCAGCAGGCGTTTTGCTAAGAACAGTGAGCATAAAGGCTCGAGGCTGCTTTCTGCTCCTGCTGCGTGTGCATGAACGATGGGTGGTTTTGCAGAGGAATGAGTGCTGGGCTGCTGCTCATCCCCCCACCACTCCCATGTGGCCACTCCGTGTATCAAATCCCATTTGCTGTTTAGATCACCATGCTTAATGCTGCATTGTCTTGTTCTAACAGCATTTTTCAAGATCGTATTAAAATACTCCGTGTGCATATTAAAATACTCTGTAATGCATGATAATACCTATTCCGAAGAGTCCCCTGACTGAATAAATTCTTACAGATGGCATGAAACTACAGAGGGATTAGCTGTTGACTGCAGATCTGATGCCATTGCTTTTCTCTCTGCAGTTCCGTGTAATTTAACATGTCAATAGCCGTGCTGGTAAAACATGATGAAATTTTATATGACAGTATTACTCATAATGTACTGCATATTTACGTGTGAATGGTGTTATTCCTAAATATAAACAGCTAGTTTGAGACAGACTTTGGTAAATGACTTTCTCAAAACTTGCTTCTTTTCTAATATATTTTAATAATTACTTCTTTCTCTTGCAGACAAAATTGAAGAAGCACAAAAACAACTTAATGGAAAAGAAGACCAACAAAGAGGTAATAAACAAATCAAAATGAAATAGAAAAAGCACATTGTGATTCTACAGGATGATGTAAAGCTTTCCTGCATCAGTGAAACTGGGCTCCACTGGGCTGTGGGCATTGGATGAAGCCCAGGGTATGTGTATTGCAGATCAGGTGCTGTGATCTGTAACACCCCAATTTTGTGGAGACACAAAAGCTTTGTTTTAACCACTTGAGTAGCTGTATTGACCTTGATAAGGCTGCTGAAGTTATAGCACTGGAAACTGCATAGTTTATTGACTAAAGCCTTGTACTAACAGTTTGGTTCATAATATGATTTACCTAATCGTTAATAACCATATCTGGTTTATGACAAGCAATATGTGATGATTTCTAGCAGATGCTGAATGGAGATTGATCCTCATAGGCTATTTTAAGAAACAGTTGACCTGTGACAGATTAAACTTGTGTGTTAGGGCTTAGAAAGCTGGTGAAAAGTCATTGTATTTCAAGGCTGGCTGACTGCAGGAGTACCTGTTAGGTTTTATGTGATAAAGCTCATCTGTGCACCCACAGAGGAGTGCAGAGAAGCAGCATGGGGAGGGGGAGACCAAATAATCCCTGGCTAGGCTCCCCTGGGCAGAGCCATGGAAGACTCTTCTCCACGAGCCCAGAGGAGCACAGGGGTATGAGGGTAGGTGAGAACTCCAGTGAAAGACGAAGAAAGTAGACTCTGTCCAGTACCCTCCCAGGGCCGTTGCAGCAGAGCCACAGCCCCAGCATCCAGATGTGAAACCCATCACCATGAGCCATAGGGAGTAGCTCAGCGGGTCACCTTTTGGACTAAAGGTGTAGTACTTGAAAGGGGACACATGAGAGGATGCAGGAAAGCAACTCGGGGGCTCAAATCTGTGTGTCAAGGCCAGATTGGATGGGGCCCTAGGCAACGTGGTCTAGTATTTAAATGGGGAGGTTGGTGGCCCTGCCTGTGGCAGGGGGGTTGGAGATTCATGATCCTTGAGGTCCCTTCCAACCCTGGCCATTCTGTGACTCTGTGTATGTGTATGAACATGGTGCATATGTGTGTTCTTTGTGTTTGTGCCTACTGGGAATACATTTTCAGCTTCTCTGGTGATCGGACCTGGTGTCATGAAGCAACAGCCTCACCTTTCTAAGCCTGGTGGGTCCAGCATGCTGTACTTTCCTCTGTCAGTACCACACTTCACTGGTTTGTCTTGCTCTGGGTAGATACTCATTGCACTCATGTTAGTGACCTGTCCTTTTGACCTCTGACACATCTGTGAATAGCACTGTAAATTGTTGATATTCACTCCTGGACTCAAAGCATTTTACCTTTTCAAACGGTGAATTTAAAAACTTGCTGAACATTACAGAACAAAAGAAATAACCTGTTGGATCCCAGTAGGGCCCATCTGACCCATCATTCTGCTTACAGCATAGGCAATAGAACATGCAGATTGAGGACAGTGCCTCAGCTTGGCCACTTTCTGCAACTTGTTTCCCTTAGGCTGTCCTTGGGATCTCTGCCTCATCCCTTTTAGGACCTGTTACCATGAATCCTTTTCTTTCAGTGCTGTTTGCCTTCAGCATTCTCTGGCAATGAATTGCAGAAGTTCACTACCAATCACATTAAGAAAGTACATTATTATATCTTTTTTTTCTCCCAACTTCCTACTAGTTTTAATAGGTGTCCTTTGGTCCAAGCATTGTCTGATTTATTAAATAAGAGTTCAACTTTCACCTTACCAGCTGCTTTTGTGATTTCATAAGCCTTGTCCATATCCCACTCAGCTTTGTTCTCTTCAGACTCACGTTTGAGTTAATTTTTCGAAAGAAGATTTGATACAGGCTGTCTTGAATGGGTACTAAGACTATGATGTTGCTTTATGCCTTTATAAAAGGTGAAGGAGAAAAAAATGTGTGGGTGGGGGATAAAAGAAGCCTTCTAAACATTTACAGAGACTTGCCAACAAGCTAGGCCTTCAACTGAATAGACTTGTGATGTATTTTTGTTTAGCGTATCATAGGAAAGCAGCATTGTCATCCAAACATAAAAGCTCAGTGTGTAAAGTATTACTGTCTGCTCTTGTTGATGTTGGTCCTAAAGAAGTAATATTTCTCTGGATTTATTTATTTATTTTTGGGTAGACTCGTTCAAGCTGAAGATGAACTGACCTCTATTTTCAGGATTTTCTTCTCAGCTGTGCACCAGTACAATCTTTGTGATCCCACACAAAGGAAGAAACCTCCACTGTGCTCTGACAGGGATTGGGTTGCAAAGATTTGCATGATGATAGCACAAGCCTTTCATGGGCTCAGGAGGCAGAAAGATTATGGCTTAATTTTTGTCTCCTAATTTAAATTTGTATGACTAGTTGTTGAAAAAAAATTATGTATAAAATTGATACAGAAATGACTGGGATAATACGGTGACTTTGTACCTTCTCTTTTCAACTGAGAATTGTCCTCTGCCATTTTCATCACTTTCTTAAGTGTCTAAATAGATTTTTATTTTTTATTGTTTGTAATATGAAGTAAATTAAATGATTTGTTTGAAGGCCACTGAGAAAAAGGAAAGTATATTTTGAGGTAAACAAGTAAACAAAATGTGAACACGCTCACATAAGGTATTTTAATCACAATGCAGTGTATACAGATTCACCTTAAGAGTGGTTGTATATTTTTATAGCAAATTAAATACTGTCCTGTCAGTACTGGAGCTGTTAGAGGTGTAGCATGTTTGTGGGGAGGAATTCTTCATAAGTTCAATCATACTGGGTTTTCTGCTGACTGGTAATGTACACTGATCAGTCATAACTTTATACATGTGTGGGATTTAAGATGAATTTAATTGACTATAAAAAGATATGTATTTAATGCATTTTGCCATTAGCTGTAATAATCCAATTAAGTGCAAATTGAAATAGATCTCTATTAAACACAAAGGCAGTAAAGAAACAGATGTAGTGTTGAATTTAGCAGAATTCAGATAGTATGAATTTGCAACTGGAAGATACACATATATTTTGAGTGATAGTCCACAAAGACATTCAGGTTGCAGATAAGTGACCTGCAAGTTGATATCAGAAATGTATTCTTTAGGGACCACCCTCTTTTCCTGCTCATCAATTGTGTAAGGTGGATAATTCTTTCATCATTTCATCTTCTCGTAATTGCTCAGTTGCCAGTGTGAATTTTTAGTAGGAGAACCTCAGCATCTCTTCAACTGTGATTGTTGTTGACATGGCAGAGAAAGTCTTGTTTCCCGTGAGTGGTCTGTGTGTTGTCCTTTAATACCTGGAAGGGATGTGGTCTTGGAAAACCAAAACTTTCTCCTTGTGAAGGCAATGAAAGCTTTCTCTGATGATACCCATTTGGGTATCACGGTCTGGAAAGCAGTTAGCTGAATCTGCTTTGGCTTTGATCTACTACTGGCCTCCTCCTAAGAAATCCATCCCAAGAAGGTCTCTTTGTCTTCTCCCTTCCGGACTGATAAAGTCAAGTCCTCTCACATCCTTGTGGTTACCACAGAGGCTTCTGTTTTGGTCATCCTCTGAACCAGTTCAGCCACTGAAGGTCTTTATGAAGCACTGTAAGCATTTGTTTTCTTCTTTATCCATTGCAGCAGTTCTCTGCTTATCACAACAGGCTGCATCCTAGGGGCATCAGTTCCACAAGCACTGTCATAGGATTTTAATGTAGGGCTAGTGGCACTTAACCTAGTTATCTTGATACTTGGCACCAGCGATGCTAAGGCTGCTGAATCTCTCATTCTGCTTCTGAAACTTTTCAGGGGACTAAAGTTGGTGACAAACTCCAGCTACACCAAGATTTGCCATGAAGAGGGGTTGCAGATCCTGTACAGACACTCAACAGAGTTGATGTGGCCTAGCATATACTCCACAAAACCCACTTATCCCACAAGCTCTCTGCCTCTTAAGAATATGATTCCGGACTAAGCTGTATTATTTTGGATAGCTACTTGCTGCGTTGCTGAAAGAAAGAATCAATGATAAATGGCTGTGTCACAGGGAACATAGGTGTACTTACTCTGCTTCTCCATTGTGGTGATGGCTGTATCTTACAGTGTGTAAGGGCAGAGGTGATATGGGATGATCTGGGAATGTCTGTGTGTTCTTCGGCTTCATTGCAATTTAGACTTGCAGGCTGTCATGGTTGTTTGTCAGGTATAAATTCATCCCTTTAGATAAGCTGTTGTTCTTGTTTGAATCTCTACTCATGTTTTTTACTTTCTTCTGAAGTGAGTAGACTTCAAGTACCAGTTTCTTCAACAGATGAAGTTGTAAACAGTTTATTAACTCTCACTGCAAGCTGTGTGCAGTGTAACAAATCCATCCTGGATTCAGACTTCCAGTCCCTCTAATGGCACGCAGACGTCTGCCAGACTCCTCTCCTGATCTCTTCCCAGTACTGGTAGGTATGTCTCTGTCTAGCTTCAAGGAAAAGGTAGTTTTCAATCTGTTTTACCAGCAATCAGCCACATTTCTCTACTTTCACACTTGATTACTTTCAAGTTTCTCAGAGAACTTCTCCAGTTTTTTTTTTTACTTCTGCTGGAGATGCTTCATAGTGTAATTTGAACACAATGCTGTATATTCTCATTGAATCCTCCCTTTCAGATACTTGGCATTGCTACTCACTGCTTGGTCTAGGAAGTTGTCCTTGCCACGTTCAGAAGTTCGAATTGTTGTGACAGATCTGTCTTGATGATAGTGTTCCCTTCCAGAGTCACCACAGCTTTCTTCGTAAGGTTGTATTGGAATTTTACCCAAATCAGCTCTCTTTTTGGGGCCTCATGCTTCAATGTTAGTAGTACCCTCTTCACTTGCATCCTTAGACATAGAAACATTCTTGACAGATCAAGAGTTTTGCTTAATTTTGATCAGTGCTTGTGTAAATGGCAGCAGGGTCTTACCTATATTTGCTGAGAAACTATCTAGATAAAACCATCCAAAGCCATAGTTTGGACTCCAGCAAAATCCAAGCCATTT